TGGCAACATAAACCTATTTATTATTTTTATGTGTATGAGTATATTGTCTACATGTGTAAGTATACCTGTGTCATGCTGTGCCTGCAGTGGAAGTCAGAAGAGGGCATCATATCCCCTGGAACTAGAGTTACAGAGGGTTGTTAGCTGCCATGTGGGTGTTGGGATTTGAACCCAGGTCCTCTGCAAGAGCAGCCAATTCTCTTAACCACTGAGCCATCTCTCCAGCTCCCAATTTATTTTTATTTTATGTGTATGAGTATTTTGCCTGCATGTATTTAAGTACACTGGTGTCCTGCAATACCTGCAGAGGTCAGAAGAGGGCATCAGATCCCCTGGAACTAGAGTTACAGGTGGTGGTTGCTAGACACCATGTATGTGCTTGGAACCCAGCCTGGGTCCTCTGCAAAAGCAGCCAGTGTTCTTAACTGCTAAGCCCTCTCTCCAGCCCCTTGACAGTAATTTTTACTGAAAATTCATAGGCTTTTGGAAGGTACTTGTATGGATACTTCCATGAATGTCACATCCATGTAGTCAGTATCCAGGCCAAAAACCAGTGTGGCAAGGGCCTGGTGTGGCTCAGTGGTAGAGGACTTGCCTAGCCTCTTCAAGGCCCTGGGTTAGATCCCTGGTACTGCACAAGAAGATGCCCAGTGTTGTTGTTATTACTGAACACCATGGATACATTGTCTTTGTTTGGACATGTGCAACCTCTATTTCCAGTCTAGAGGCTCCATGGCTGTACAATCAGTTGTAATGTCAGGGTACAGTCTTAGGTTCGCTTTACTTTGGTAACACCCGGGTTTGGGGGTTTTACCCTTTACAAGTCATTCAAGTCTCCTAGAGGTAGCGTCTCCATGTCATGTTCTCATGTAGCCTCTGCCTGCCTGATGATAGCATTTGGCAGAAGGAATCTTCACTGGGAGATGTGGGCTCTGGGACTTCCAAGCCTGTGGTTCTCCCTGCAGGTGTGAGCAGGTGGGAAGAGTGGGACCCAGTGGGAACAGTGGGAGCAGGTGTGAACAGAGGGGAGCAGGTGGAGCAGTGGGAGCAGGTGTATGAACAGAGGGGAGCATGTGTGAGCAGGGGGAGCAGGTGTGAACAGAGGGGAGCAGGTGGAGCAGTGGGAGCAGGTATATGAACAGAGGGGAGCAGGTGGGAGCAGCAATGGGAGCAGGTGGAGCAGTGGGAGCAGGTATATGAACAGAAGGGAGCAGGTGGGAGCAGCAGTGGGAGCAGGTATATGAATAGAGGGGAGCAGGTGGAGCAGGTGGGAGCAGCAGTGGGAGCAGGTATATGAATAGAGGGGAGCAGGTGGAGCAGTAGGAGCCGGTGGGAGCAGGTGTATGAACAGGGGAGCAGGTGGGAGCAGCGGTGGGAGCAGGTGGGAGCAGTGGAAGTAGGTGTGAGCAGTGGGACCAGGTGTATGAACAGAGGGGAGCAGGTGGAGCAGTAGGAGCAGGTGTATGAACAGAGGGGAGCAGGTGGGAGCAGTGGGAGCAAGTGTATGAACAGAGGGGAGCAGGTGGGAGCAGTGGGAGCAGGTGTGAACAGAGAGGAGCAATGGGAGCAGTGGGAGCAGGTGGAAGTGTGACTAGGTGGGGGCAGTGGGAGCAGGTATGAGCAGGTAGGAGCCCATTCGTTTTGCTTTGCTGTTACTGTTTTTTGTTTGTTTTGTCTATTGTATAGCCTTGGCTGGCCTGGAACTCACTATGTAGACCAGGCTGGCCTCAAGCTCATAGAGATCCACCTGCCTCTGCCTCCCCAGTGCTGGGATTAAAGGTGAGCATCACCACCCCTGGCCTTTGTTCTGCTTTTATAGTTTCCCTCACACCACCCGCTGTGTCCGTTAGCTCACTGTCTGTGAACAGGGATGAAAGCTGTCGTTGTCCCACCAACACCTCCAATCGATGGGCCCAAAGAGTAAAATATTTCCTATTACGTGATTTTGTTAAGGGGGGGGGTGTCTCTCTTGAATCTTGTTTTCTTGAAGAAAGGAATTCAGTCAAGAGATAGTTTAAACTTAAGAGATAGTTTAAAGTTTATTTAGTAGAGTGAGCCAGGCTACTTTCCACAGAGACTGGAGTGGGGCTACCCCAGGGCCAGTGGGTTCCACATTGTGGATTTGGAAGCATTTTTTATGAATATTTATGTGGTAGGTGGCATATTCATGGGGTAAAGTGACACTTTCCTCACTCAATCATGGTGGACCCAATCTTCTTTTTAGGATATTTCTTCCTGTTACCCTCTAGAAAAGCTCATGGGGTGTGCAGGCCTTTAATGAGTGCACATGTGGGAAATACCCTGCACCTCAGTTCCTGCTATAGTGGGAACAGCCTGTCGGCAGCCTCAAAGATATTTAACCATAAGGGGTATTCCGACCATGACAGACACAGCTACCAAGACAGAGCTCTGGTTTCTTTGGTTACCACATATTAATGCCTCATGTTAGCTCCTTTCTGAAAGTGGGGTGTGGTGGTACAGGCCCTTGATCCCAGCAGAGGGAGGCAGAGATTGAGGCCAGCCTGGTCTACATAGTGAGTTCCAGGCCAGCCAGGCCTACATAGTGAGACCAAACAAATAAAACCCTCCCTTCTGTGTCTGTCAGTCTGCCGTAGGGTTAAGACTTACTTTGAAATGCTTCACAGGATTGTGTGTCATCCTTGCAGAGGGGCCATGCTAATCTCTGTGTTGTTTCAGTTTTAGTATACGTGCTGCTGAAGCAAGCACATTTGTCTGTCTGTTTGAGACGCTCTGTGGCCCCAGTAGCCCTGGAACTTTGTGTAGACCAAGCTGTCCTGGATCTCAGATCCATCTGCTTCTGCTTCCCAATTAATTGAGGTTTTAATTGTGAAAACTGAGACCAGGTTTCCAGTCACTTGTTGACTGTGCAGGGCTGGGCTCTTTAGGACCTGCCTTCTCCCAGCCCACTGCTCAGGTCTAACGTCTACTTGGCAGTTTGATTTTGTTGTAACCTTTCTTTCTGTGGAATCATAAACTCAGGAATGGCAATGGCTAGGGATGTAGCTCAGTGGCAGAGCAATTGCCCAGCGTGGGCAAGGCCCTAAGCTCAGACCTTGTGTGAGCTCAGGAAGTGATGCTCTTGTCTCATGGATCCTGTGGCTGGTGTGAACTGTCCCTTTCACTATTGCTGATAGGCCTCTTGGTGAAAATCTTTAAAAAATCTCTTCATTGCTCTGTGGTTCTCTGTTCTGTGCAGTTCTTTCTCATTGTGTTTCCCCGTGGTGTCTGTGTTGCTCCTTCCTTGTCTGTCATTGATGTTCCGTTGCCTCACCAGTGTTTCCAGTGATCTCCCAGAGTAGGGTTGCCATCCAATCCTACCTGTAGAACACACCCAGAGGCCAGGAGCTGTGCAAGTGTGGGCGTGTGAAGTCATGGTCTGGTTACTGACAAATTCCTCTTGATCAGTCTTGACCAGTTGGTAAAGCCTCCAACTAGTAAGAGAATTGCACTTGGGGCTCATGGTGGGGCACAGTGCTCCTGGGGCTCATGGTGCGGCACAGTACACCTGGGCTCAGGGTGCGGCGTGGTGCTTCTGGGGCTCATGGTGGGGTGCAGTGCTCCTGGGCTCAGGGTGCAGTGCGGCGCAGTGCTCCTGGGGCTCACGGTGCGGTGCGGTGCTCCAGCATTTCTTTGGCATGCACAAAGCCCTGTGGTATCTTCTCATCAGTGGCCTCTGAATTTGGGTTGATACTATTCAGGACCTTTTCAATCTCTAATGTTACTTTAAAACTCACCCAGTTTTGGGGCTGGAGAGATTGCTCAGTGGTTAAGAACATGTACTGCTCTTCCATTTACTGACCCAAGGTCAGTTCCCAGCACCCATGTGAGGTAGCACACAACTGCCTTTAAACTCCAGCTCCAGGGTATCTGACAACTTCCGGCTTCAGTGGGCACCTGCACTCATGTGGGAATGCTCATACATAGACACACACACACATACACACATACATGCATATAATTAAAAGTAAAATAAATCCTTCAAAAAGCTCTCCCTGATTTTACTCCAGTCTTTGTGACTGTAGTACATCTAAACTTTCTTGTGGGTTTGTAAGGTGTGATGTCAGAATTCAGCTGTTTTGTTTCAGATGGCTTCTCGGCTATGCCAGCAGCACTCACTAAGTTGTTCATCTTCTTCCCAAGACTTGAAATTCCACATTTATCATAACAAAATTGCTTTATGTTTCTGGGGTTTTTGTTGTTGTTGTTGTTTCTATGCCTGGGATCAAACTCAGAGCGTTTCACATGTTAAGGACCCAGCCCTGTTTCCTGTTCTGATGGGAATGCTCTCACTACTGTCTCCCTAAACATCATGCCTGTGGAACTCAGTATCTATTCAGCTGTTAGTATTTTAAAGGTTTTTTTATGTTTCTTTTCATGTGTATGTGGTGTGTGTGTGTGTGTCCCACATATGTAGAGCCCAGAGGCTGACGTCAGGTGTTCTCCTTGAAGACAGTCCACTTTGTTCCACTCTTGTTGAATTCCCAGCTGGTTGATTTAGCTGATCTAGCTAGATTGCTCCAGGGAGCCCTTGTCTGCCCCTGGCAGTGAGCAGCCCACCCAACTTTTTTTTAAAAAATATTTTATTTATTATTTTTATTTTATGTGTACGAGTGTGTTGCCTGCATGTATGAGTGCACCCATGTCCTGCAATGCCGCAGAGGTCAGAAGAGGGGTGTCCGGTTCCCCCAGAACTGGAGTTAAGAACAGTTCGTAGCCGCCATGTGGGTGCTGGGAATTGAACCTGGGTCCTCTGCAAGAGCAGTCAGTGCTCTTAACCCCTGAGCCATCTCTCCAGCCCTGCACCCAACTTTTATGTGGATTCCAGCACTCTCTTCTGGCCTTCAAGGGCATAACACGTATGGGTGCACTTAACATACCTGCAGGCAAAACACTCAAAATTTATAAGGCTTGGGCGTGGTGGCACCTGCCCTTAATCCTAGCACTTGGGAGGCAGAGGCAGGCAGATCTCTGAGATTGAGGCCAGCCTGATCTACATAGTGAGTTCCACCCAGCTGGGGCTACAGGGAGATCTCAAAAACACAACAAAAGAAATTTTTTAGGGTGTAGAGAGAGGGCTCGATGGTTAAGAGCACTGGCTGCTTTTGCAGAGGACCCAGGGTTCGAATCCCAGCACCCACATGACGGTTAACAACTATCCATAACTCCAGTTCCAGGGGATCTCACGCCCTCTTCTGGCCTCCTCAGGCATTGCACAATATGGGTGCACTTATATACATGCAGGCGATACATTCATACATATAAAACTAAAAATTTTTTTCAAAGGTCAAAGAGGTGACAGGAAGAGGAGACAGATGTCAGAGCCACACAGGCATAAGCAGGGTTGGCATCGGGAAGGGATGAAGTGTAAGGCATTATCTTCAAAGCAGTGATTGAGTAAGGAGGCAGAGACAACAGAGAACTACTAAGGGGCCAGCCCCCAAGGCCTCTGGAAGGACGAACAGCCTCCCTAGGTGAATTGTCAGGGTGAAAGGGAAAGGACCCTTCAGAGAAGGTGTACCATGTTCTAGAAGGCCAGTGCAAGGGTGGACCATGGGAAGGAGGTCCGAGTGAGTAAGTTTATTGTCTCTCCTGTTCTGCACGGAGGGTGTCTCTGGGAGTGAGCAGGTGGTGGTCTGCCTTTGCACAGCCCATGTTCTAATGGAGCAAAAGAAGTTTCAGCCCATGCTAAGTGTCTCTGAGTGTTCTTGGGCTCTAGACACCTGATGGGAAAGACTGCTGCCAGAGTAGTCCCAGTGCTCAGTCCGACTCAAGGGGCCCTCACAGAGGAGTCCAGGCGCCCATCCCCCAGGAGAATAGAGAGAGGGAGAGAGAAGTGAAGCAGTTTATTCTCAGTGTAGTTAGACTGATGACAGTTGGTCTTTCCCATTTGGAATCCTGGTCAGCAGCTCCAGAATTCTATTGGGAATAACAAAAGCAGGGTGCCCAGAGGTCTGCACAGCTGCACAGCAACTTCCACCTGGCTGGGGCCTGGAGCCCAGAGGTCTGCACAGCTGCACAGCCACCTCCATCAGGCTAAGGGTCTGCTGGTGCCAAGGACCATTTCCTATCCCAGAATGAGATGAGGCTGGGAAGGAAAAATAGCAGGTTAGGACAAAATGAAGTCAGTGAGGACAATGGGTGCTTTCGTTGTTGTTAAATTTTATTTTATTTATATGAGTGTTTGCCTGCATGTATATATGTGCACTATGTGCATGCCTCGTGCAGAAGAGGGCACTGAATCCCCTGGACCTGGGACTGTAGACAATTGTGATCTGCCATGTGGGTGCTGGGAACTGAACCCAGATCCTTTGCAAAAGCAGGCAGTGCTCTTAACCACTAAGCCATCTCTCCAGCCTAGTGGCTGCTTTTTTAACACACTCCCTTTCAAAGCAGTCCCACCATCTCTCCTGCACACCAGGGCTAGGTAAGCAGGGGCTATGTGTGCAAATGGTCAGCTGTACCAACGTCCAACGTCACGACCTTTTCCCTCATACATGCTGTGACCTGAACCCAAGACCCTCCCTAGCCCTTTCACGCAAAGTTTTTATGTCAGTGAGAGAGCTGCGCCTGTCTCTGCCCAGTCATATCCTTTACCCTCTCCGGCTCTTGCCCCTCCAGATACCATTCGGAAGATGAAGAATGATTTCCGGAAAATGGAGGACGAGATGGACCGTTTGGCCACCAACATGGCGGTAATCACCAACTTTAGTGCGCGCATCAGCGCCACACTACAGGACCGCCATGAGCGTATCACCAAGCTGGCAGGTGGGCTGTGTACTGAGTGGGTCCTGCAGCCAAACACCCTCAGCTCTGCGGTTAACAGGACTGCCTTGTCCCCCAGGAGTGCACGCCCTGCTGCGGAAGCTGCAATTCCTCTTTGAGCTGCCCTCGCGCCTCACCAAGTGCGTGGAGCTGGGCGCCTATGGGCAGGCGGTACGCTACCAGGGCCGCGCGAGGGCAGTGCTGCAGCAGTATCAGCACCTGCCCTCCTTCCGCGCCATCCAGGACGACTGCCAGGTCATCACGGCCCGCCTGGCTCAGCAGCTGCGGCAGCGCTTCAGGTGTGGCTGGCCCTCGCCGCCCCCGCCCCCCCCCACCCCGCTGGGTCTACAGCACCCCACTGCCTCCCCCGCACCTGCGCCTCCCCCGCACCTGCGCCTCCCCCGCACCTGCGCCTCCCCCGCACCTGCGCCCCGACAGCTATCCCAACCTGCGGCTCACTGCATCTGGTCCCTGCAGGGAGGGCGGCTCTGGCGCCCCAGAGCAGGCGGAGTGCGTGGAGCTGCTGCTGGCCCTGGGTGAGCCTGCCGAGGAGCTGTGCGAAGAGTTTCTGCTGCACGCGCGTGGGCGGCTGGAGGAAGAGCTGAGTAGCCTGGAGGCGGAGCTGGGGCCCTCGCCGCCTGCGCCCGACGTGTTGGAGTTCACCGACCGCGGCGGCAGCGGCTTCGTGGGCGGCCTGTGCCAGGTGGCAGCGGCCTACCAGGAGCTGTTTGCTGCCCAGGGCCCTGCGGGTGCGGAGAAGCTGGCAGCCTTCGCGCGGGAGTTGGGCGGCCGCTACTTTGAGCTGGTGGAGCGCCGGCTGGCGCAGGAGCAGGGTGGCAGTGACAACTCCCTGCTGGTGCGCGCCCTGGATCGCTTCCACCGGCGCCTTCGGGCACCGGGGGCCCTGCTGGCCGCTGCTGGGCTCTCGGAGGCTGCCACAGAGATCGTGGAGCGAGTGGCCCGAGAGCGCCTGGGTCACCACCTGCAGGGCCTGAGGGCCTCCTTCTTGGGATGCCTGACTGATGTTCGCCAGGCGCTGGCGGCACCTCGCCTGGCTGGGAAGGAGGGCCCCAGCCTGGCGGAGTTGCTGGCCAATGTGGCTAGCTCCATCCTGAGCCATATCAAGGCCTCCCTGGCCTCTGTGCATCTCTTCACCGCCAAAGAGGTGTCCTTCTCCAACAAGCCATACTTTCGGGTACGTCTACTCTTGGGCTTTGGTTATTCATTCTGCTGGCTGGCCCTCCAACCCCCTTCTACTCGTGCTTGGTGAACTGGGGACAAGTCACCAGGGCCCATACAGCCCTGTCCCAGGCACCGTGGATGTGGATTTATCTTCTGGAAGGCAGTGTGGAGGGGGAAAGGCTCAGACCATCTGCAGCTGGGCTGGGAACAGAAGTGTGAGGGTCCCCAGTGCTGACAGCTCTGCCCTGCCAGGGTCTCCAGTGCCCAGTGCTGCCAGCCCTGCCCTGTCAACAGCAAAGGAAGGTGGAGCTGCTCTTTGGAGAGGGGCTAGGGCAGAGGGCAGAACAGCCCCAGGCTCTGGCCTTGCAGTACCTCTCCTGCTTGGGGAGAGGGCTGTTGTGTATCTGAGCCTTTCCTCACAGGGCAAGTTCTGCAGCCAGGGAGTCCGAGAGGGGCTCATCGTGGGCTTCATCCGCTCCATGTGCCAGACGGCCCAGAGCTTCTGTGACAGCCCCGGGGAGAAGGGGGGTGCCACACCCCCAGCCCTGCTCTTGCTGCTCTCACGCCTCTGCCTGGACTATGAGACGGCCACCATCTCCTACATCCTCACACTCACTGACGAACAGTTTCTGGTGCAGGTAAAGAGGCTCAGGAGAAAGGAAAGGGGGCCGATGCCAGGAACACAGGAGGCTGGGTGTTCTCTTGTGGCCAGAACAGGACTGGCCATCCATACCCACCTCAGTGTCCATCTTGCTCAGCCTTTCTGCGCTCCTGACTGGCAGTGCCTCTGAGCTACCCCCAATACCGTCAACCATTCTCTTCTGCTTCCCTGGCTTAGGACCAGTCTCCAGTTACACCTGTGAGCACACTCTGTGCAGAGGCCAGAGAGACAGCACGGAGGCTGCTAACCCATTATGTGAAGGTTCAGGGCCTAGTCATATCACAGATGCTACGCAAGAGTGTGGAGACACGGGACTGGCTCAGTACCCTAGAGCCCCGGAACGTGCGTGCTGTCATGAAGCGTGTGGTAGAGGATACGACAGCTATTGATGTACAGGTGCTGGATCAGGCTGAGTGGGGGAGCCTGATGCAGGCTGGGGGTGCTGGAGAACAACTCTCTCAGGACCAAGACAAAAGGGGCCCCATAATATCTGCATCTGTGTCCTGGATTAACCACCAGACCCCCCATTTCACAAACGGGGAAGTGGAGACCCAGGGTCACCCAGGAGGTTGGGGCAGGGATGGGCTGAAAATTGGGCCTCAGACTGACTCCTGTGACCTGCCTTTGTACCACTCCCCTGATTGTATAAATGGTAACTAGTTTGATTCTTTAAGCAAGGCATTTTCTGCTAGGAACTCCTGCGCTGGCCTTGCAGTATCTCTTTTTACCACTAGGTGGGGCTCCTGTACGAAGAGGGTGTTCGCAAGGCCCAGAGCAGCGACTCCAGCAAGAGGACCTTCTCTGTGTACAGCAGCTCTCGGCAGCAGGGCCGCTATGCGCCCAGCTACACACCCAGGTCGGGCAGGTGGGAAGCCCCGGGAAACGGAGAAAAGAGGGAGGGTGTGCAGGTGGGCCCTGATTCCTTCCCTCCCCTTCCAGTGCCCCGATGGACACCAACCTCTTGAGCAATATCCAGAAGCTGTTTTCCGAACGTATTGATGTGTTCAGCCCTGTGGAATTCAACAAGGTCAGGAGCTGCTCCTGACCCAGCCCCCAGGTCCACAGCTATCCAGGAAGCCCTAGGACCCTGCCTGAGCTGAGCTAGGATTCCCCCTGACCACCTGCTTTTAGACTGTCCAGAGCATCACCATCTCAAGGCCTTAGCCTCTTTGCCCTTGCCCTGTCCCCAAAGTAGTTCTGCCTCCTCGGGGATTCCCAGTCATATCTTGGTCTCTGTCTCATGCTCAGGGATGTTTCTCCATCTCTCCCTCGTAGCCGGTGAGGATTCCTGCTCACCATGTTCATGCGGGCCCCCATCTCTGACTTGACTACTACTGGAGCTTACCTGCCCCCTCCCCTCCAGATCATGGTGGCAACATCGTATCGTTCCCTCTTACCACGGTCCTGAAAATTTCTGCCTTGTCCTCTGTGTCTCCCTGGCCCTTGCTCAGAAGTTGGATCCTCCCAACACCTGTGGTCACTGAGCTGCATCCCTGTGTCCCCTTCTGCAGGTATCGGTGCTGACTGGCATCATTAAGATCAGCCTGAAGACGCTGCTGGAGTGCGTGCGGCTGCGCACCTTTGGGCGCTTTGGGCTGCAGCAGGTGCAGGTGGACTGCCACTTCCTGCAGCTCTACTTATGGCGCTTTGTGGCCGATGAGGAGCTTGTGCATCTGCTGCTAGATGAAGTGGTAGCCTCGGCTGCCCTGCGCTGTCCAGACCCAGTGCCCATGGAACCTAGTGTCGTGGAGGTCATCTGCGAGCGCGGCTAGGCCACGCCTTAGCCCTGCACGGGGCTGCCCCAGTGCCCCATCCTGCCTGTGCCCTGGTCTCGCCCTGGCGGCCCTTCCCCGCTGGCGGGTGTCACGACCAGCCTAATAAAAGTGTGTGGTCTCCTGCTCCCTCTTGCTTGCGGGGGCGAGATCTGCCGGGGGGTGGGGTTTTGAGGCTGGAGCTTCTGAGCAGCTGCGCGTGACCCGCCTCCCGGCGCTGATTGGCTGCTGCGCTGAGCCCAGAATGGGCAGGGGGCGCGTCCATTTAAAGACCGCTGGACGTGCACAGCGGTTGTCCGAGCTCAGCGTCCAGACAGGTGCAGGCGTAGCTAAGCCATCTGGGAATGGGGCGGGCCGTGTTTCCTTGATCGACTTTTGTGAGCCCTCGGTCCCCGGCGGAACGGAAATCATGGCCCAACTTGAGGGCTCCCAGGCCCCGTTGGAATTCGGGGGACCCTTGGGTAAATGGGATTGCTGGGGGCGGAGACTGAGTTGGTGCTACTTAACTGCATTATGTGAGCTGGAGGCTTTGGAGGGGCATCCGGAGGCAGAGGAATGGGGTCTGGAGGTGGGAACGGAGGAGTGTTTGCAGGAGAGATGTAGGGACCGGTGCTGGTGACTGTGGATTGGGAGATTGGGAGTTGGAAGAACAGAAAGAGGGTCTTCGAAAAGGCCGGACGACCGGGAGTAGGGGTTGGGCTGACATCCGGCGACGACAGGGTGCCTGTGGACTTGGGGGAGCGCGCGCCTGGCACCGTGGTCCTCTTCCCCAGGCACCGCGGCGATGCTGGTTCTGCTGCCCGCCACCATGTTCCACCTGCTCCTGGTGGCTCGCTCCGGCCCCGCGCGCCTCCTGGGCCCACCACCATACCTGCCCGGGCTGGAGGAGCTGTGGAGCCCACGGGCGCTGCTGCTATTGTTCGCCTGGCTCGGCCTGCAGGCGGTGCTCTACCTGCTGCCTGCCCGCAAGGTGTGAGCTCTGCTCTAACGCCCCCGGGAGGAGGGAGCAGGGAGGGCCGAACCTTGTAGAAGGTGCCCCAACCCTAATGAGACCCCTGTACCCGCAGGTGGCCGAGGGGCTGGAACTGAAGGACAAGAGTCGCCTGCGCTACCCTATTAATGGTGCTTGGGTTGCCCGCCGATGCTTTGGGGTTGCAAGGGTTGGAGTGGGGTTCCAAGTCTAGCAGGAGGTCCACGAATCCCTGACACCAAGTTCCCCATGGCTACCTTTGATGCCCAGGATAGGTACCAGGGAATCGCTACGCCTCCAACTCGCTTGCTGCTGCTATTCTGTGTGTGTGTGTGTGTGTGTGTGTGTGTGTGTGTGTGTGTGTGTGTGCGCGCGCGCGCGCACTGTGTATGTATCTTTTATGCCTGGGATAAACCCCAGGATTCTCAATGCCGTACATGGTTTGCTGCTACTCTTTGCACCAGGGCAATGACCTCCTGGAGCTTTGGCTTCTGTGTACTGGGGGCGGGGGGTGTTGTTTGTGAGGAAGAATGCAACCCCAGGGCTCACTCTGTGCTGTGGTTCAGGCTTCCAGGCCCTAGTGCTGACAACCCTGTTGATGGGGCTGGGGGTGACAGCGGGGCTGCCCCTGGGGGCACTCCCGGAAATGTTCCTGCCTTTGGCCTTTGCAACAACACTCACCAGCTTCATCTTCAGCCTCCTCCTCTATGTGAAGGCGCTGGTAGCTCCTGCCTCAGCGCTGGCCCCAGGGGGAAGCTCAGGTGAGAAGGGGCCCAGTGAGGTGGGGCGAGGTGGATCGCCTCCGGTTCCTTTACCTCTGTTATTCTGCAGGCAATCCGGTTTACGACTTCTTCCTGGGACGGGAGCTCAACCCTCGCATTGGTTCCTTTGACTTCAAATATTTCTGTGAGCTGAGGCCTGGCCTCATCGGCTGGGTATGCTGGGCTTAACTGTTCAGGGGCTGTCCATGAGCCCACGATATTGGTTTGGTATTGAGACCAAGGGGGGGAAGGTCACAGGAGAGAGAAAAACAAATCTCTGCTCAGTCTTCATTCTAGGGAAAAAGACAGGCCAAAAATCAATAATAATGTGCATAATGGACTGGGGCTGTAGCTCAGGGGTAGAGGGCATTTGACTAGTGCATGATTAAGGCCCTGGGCTCCATCCCTAGCATCACAAACAGAAGTACGAATGGCATGTTAGCAACAACAGGTGCTATAGAGGAAAAGAAAACAGGGAGGAGCTGGAGAGCACTTGCAGCTTGCAAGGTAGCAGTCAAGTACAAAATTTAGTTCAAAGACGGTGATCCTGTACTGCTTGACAGTCAAGGCAGCACAGAGCTTCAACAACCTGCTTGTCACTGGTGGCCTTGACAACATGCCAACTGTGTTGTTTGGTTAAGATCACGCATGCTGGATGGAGTCAAAGAGTCTCAAAGGAATTCAGGCAAGGTCTTTCATTTCCCCTTGGAAAAGACCTTACACTGAGGCAGGAGTGCCAAAGATCCTATGGATCTGCGTTTGATTTGGTTTGAAGACAAGGTCTCATTAGGTAGCCCAGGTTAGCCTCAAAATCAGGATTCCCCCTCCACCTCTCAACCACTTGAATAGCTAGAATGTGCACTACCAGGCCTGGTTCCACCATGGATCTGGATCTCCACCTGCCCCCAGGTATATCAATTTCTGGGGTTATTTCTTCACTGATGAAATAGGGATAGAATGAAATTTTTCCTAAAATGATTATGAGGGTGTAGTGGTGCACACCTTTAATCTCAGCATTTGGGAGGCAGAGGCAGGTGGATCTCTGAGAGCTCAAGGCCAGCCTGGTCTACAGAGTGAGTTTCATGCCAGCTGGGGCTACACAGTGAGATCCTGTGTGGATTAGAAGAGAGAACCTTAACAACAGCACCAAGCTCAGTGCTACCAAGCCTACTAAACTATTCAGTCTGCTCAAGCTGCTAAAATGAGAGGCCTAGTTCAGGCTGGCTCCCAGCTGTTAGATCTTTGCACATATTACATGAAAATCATCAAATGGCACCCTGAGGCAGGTCCCTGATTATCCCCATCTTGCAAATGGCAGTGGGAAAGTGGGCTTTAGGGAGGGTACACACCCTGCCCCAGTGGCAAGACTCAGATTGAAAAACAGAAGTTTAAACTTAAGCCAGAGTTGCAGTCCATATCCCTGAGTATTGGACCTGAACCCATTCAGCAAGTGAACTAACAGCTGAGAGGCTGACACAGCTCCACTGGGTGCCCCCACCTCTGTGGAGACAATGGCCCTGTTCCTCAATTTCCCCAGGTCCTCATCAACCTTGCCCTCCTGGTTCGGGAGGCAGAGCTTCGGGGGAGTCCCTCACTGGCCATGTGGCTGGTCAATGGCTTCCAGCTGCTGTATGTGGGTGATGCTCTCTGGTATGAGGTGAGGCTACACTGGACAGGGGAGGCAATGGAGGAGAGCCTGAGGAAGGTTTCAGGACTAAGCAGGTGTGTCTGGGTCCTGTCCCTGCAGGAGGCTGTCCTCACCACCATGGACATCACACATGATGGGTTTGGCTTCATGCTGGCTTTTGGGGACCTGGCCTGGGTACCTTTCACCTACAGCTTGCAGGCCCAATTTCTGCTGTACCATCCCCAGCCTCTGGGGTGGCCCATGGCCTTGTTCATCTGCCTCATCCAAGGTCAGTAGGCGGGATCTTCATTTCCCCACTCCCTTTCATTCACACTTTATTCAATATCCACCAGGTAGGTGCCAGAGTTCATCCCTAAAGCTGGGGTTGGCTCCTGGGCTCTGGATAGGCTGGCAGTCCTGGTCAGGTCCAAAGCTTTCACATCTCCACCTGCTCATGTTCTCCCCCAGCTGTTGGTTACTACATCTTCCGTGGTGCTAACTCTCAGAAAAACACTTTCCGAAAGAATCCTTCTGATCCCAGTGTGGCTGGTAAGCTGGGTCTCTTGGAGGCCATGGGTGAGATGGAGTCGCAGGGCTTTCTGGGGTCCCCATGCCTCACTAGCTATCTTTCTCCAGGTCTTGAAACCATCCCTACTGCTACAGGGCGGCAGCTGCTGGTGTCTGGGTGGTGGGGTATGGTTCGTCATCCCAACTACCTTGGAGATATCATCATGGCTCTGGCCTGGTCCTTGCCCTGTGGTGAGTGGCGTTGGGTGCGTTTAGGAAAGGGAGGCCTGGGGACCACAGGAGGTCCAGCCTGGGTATGCCCAGTTGAGGGAAGAGTCCGTGATTGGATAGACTTGGTGTGTGGCAGGGGAAACCCCACTGGCAACCTAGTACTGGGGACTCACTATGGACAATGAGCTAGATGTGAAAGCCTTTTTGAACTGGGGTGCTGGCTGATCAAAGAGCTGCTTCCCTACAGGGGTGTCTCACCTGCTCCCCTACTTCTACGTCCTCTACTTCACCGTGCTGCTGGTGCACCGGGAGGCCCGAGACGAGCAGCAGTGCCTACGCAAGTACGGCCGGGCTTGGCGCGAGTACTGCAAGCGTGTGCCTTACCGCATCATGCCCTATGTCTACTGAGGCAGCTTGGCCTACTGGAGCAAGCCTGGGCACATCTGGGCTCAAGGGCCTGCACCCAATGCCACCAAAATCTCCACCAGGCAGGGATAAGCAGCCCCAGAGGAGGTTTGAAGCAAGAGGAAAAAGCGGGAGCCCCCAAACAGAGACATTTTCCCCTGTTGGATAAATATTTGGAACTCTTGCCGTTTGTCTCTGGTGCTGGGGCCAGTGTGTTTGACTAGAGAGAGGGGTGTCCAGCTGCTGGGCAGATGTTGAAAGAGGTTTGTTGGGGGGACAGGGAGTCGAGGTCGACTGCTGTTTTCAGCAGTGGGTACCCCCAGGGCTGGGCATGTAGCTCAACTGGTAGAGTGCTTGCTTAGCATGCATGGAGTGCTGGGTTTGCTTTCCAGCACTACATAAACCCTCCAGATGGCTCACACCTGTGATCCAATACTGGCGAGGTGGACGCAGGTCAAGTTCAAAGTCATCCACAGCTAACTTTGTAGTGAATTCAGGGCCAACCTAAGATGAGACCCTGTCTTAAAAAAACCAGAACGGTACTGCCAACATCTGGGCAGACCAGTCACAGCTTTATTAATGACATGGGTACTCAGCTCAGTCAGGGAGCTCCTCAATCAGAGTCCTTGGAGGAGGTGGCACCGGGCCCCCCCAAAGCCGCTCCAGGTTCCCTGTGATAGCTGCCACCTCTTCAGCTGTCACGGCATGGGCTCGGTGGGCCCTGGCACAGTCTAGAGCCAGGGGTGTGAGGGCGGCCTCGTTCTCGTTGGTCCAAGCCAGCAAGAACTGGCACTTCTTGCGGGCCCGGTAAAGGCGATCTCGCTCTTCCCCAGCCACAGCCTGTTTCCGGGCTAGGCCCAGCGTTTGTGCCAGATGCCCCAGTGCTGCCAGAGTGTAGCCTTTCTGGTTGACAGGACCCTCCCCCATCAAGATACGGGCAACCTCTTGCATAGCACCCCGCGTACCCAGGGGCCCAGGTGGGTGCTCGCCCGCTTCCAGCACGTGGGCTGCGGCTTGCAGGGCTTCGTCCGTGGAGTCGAATACTTGCTGGGCGCCCAGGGCTCCAGACACATCGAGCAACGTGGTGCAGAAGTCGGGGAGCAGGGCGTCGTCGTCCCCTCCGTGATACAGGGCGAGCGTGTGGGCGTAGGCGAACAGCACGTTGGGCAGCTGGAAGCGCACAAGCGGCGAGGCGGGGCTGCGGCTCAGGCTGGCCAGCGCCGGGATGCGGGCGGGCGCGGCGGGCGGATCGGCCACCGGGGGGTCTTCGACAGCCGGCTCCACGGACACTGGCGTGGTCTTCGTAGGGCCGGGCTCCAGTTCCGCCGGATCGCTTCCCGGGGCTCCATCCAGCTCCTCCAACAGCCGGGGGCCGGCCCTGCGGCCCCACCACCACGGCCGCCACGGGGGCAGAAGACGCCCGGCCTCGCCACGGCTCAGCAGCCGCTCGAAGGCCGCCTTCTCGGCGGGTGCCAGCCGCTCCCAGAGCCCAGGAAGGCCGCCGGGTCCCCGGCCAGGGCCGGGGCCTGCTGCCTCAGGCTCATCCTCGGTCTCCCGTTGTTGACGCAGCCGGCGTAGCGCGCCTGCCAGGCGGCTGGGCGAGGCGCTGCGGCCGCGGAGCTCTCGTAGCACCTGGTCCCGATAGAAGTCTTCGGCGCAGCTGCCATGAGCCCGATAGCAGCGCAAGGAGCAGTACGGCACGTTGCAGCGCGGGCAGGTGTAGCGCGCCGGCTGCGCCTCCCCGGCGGGGCAGAAACTGCAGGGCCCCACTGGCTCCATGGCAACTGGCGCCGGGTGCTGGGCATCGCACTCCAGCTCAGCCACTTCCGGCGCGTCTTCGGCTACTTCCGCCTGCTTGCGTCGGGGAGACGTAGTCTAGGGTCTGCAAACTCCCCAGGCGGCTCGGCATCCGGCCACACGGACCAAGGCACGCTGGCGCGCGGAGAGAGAACGTCTCAGGTCCCAGCGTGTCCCCTAGTGGTTGCACCAAACTGCAAAAATAAACTTTTTTATGTGTGTCTTTTTGAGACAGGGTCTCACTGTAGCCCCAGCTGGCCTGGATTCACTATGGAGACCAGGCTGGCCTCGAACTCACAGAGATCCGCCTGCCTCTGCCTCCGAGTGCTGGGATTAAAGGCGTGCACCACCACGCCCAGCAAAAATAAGCTATCTTTCCTAAAATATTTTTATTTTTAAAAATTAAAATAATTTTTTTGTGTGCGTGTGTTTTGCCTGCATTTTAAGCGCACCACGTTCACGTAATGCCCACGGAGGCTAGAAAAGGGCGTTGGGACCCCGGAACTGGAGTTATGGACAGCTGCTAGCTGTCATGTGGGTCATGGGAGTCAAACCCAAACCCTCTGCAAGAACTCTCAACCTCTGAGCGCCCTCCAGCACCCCTCCTCCCGCCCTGCTTTAAAAAAAAAAATTTATGTGAATGAGTGTATTGCTTGCATATAAAGTGCACCCGTATCTTGCAATGTCTGAGGAGGTCAGAAGAGGGCCTCAGATCCCCTGGAACTGGAGTTGGGATAGTTGTTAGCCGCCACGGAGGAGCTGGGACTCGAACCAGGGTCTTCTGTAAGAGCAGCCAGTGCTCTTAACCCCTGAGCCCTCTCTCCAACTCTCCCAACCACCCCCCCCCCCTTCTTGTTTTAAGAACAGGTCCTCATGTAACCCAAACTATACTGGAACGCACTATGTAGCTGAAGCTGACTGACCTCGAACACCTGATCCTTCTGCCTCCACCTCCCAAGTGCTGGGTTCACAGATTAAACCTTTTTTTTTATTTTTTATTTTTTGTCTTTAGAGCATTTAATCCTCATCTATCACCATATCATTATGTAGTTCCTGTAATTAACTGAATTTGATGCTGGATCAATGGCAGCAGACATTTCTTCTTGAGAAATCACCTTGCCTTCTTCAGTCATACACTTGGTCAGAAACCCATGTCTAGCTGGATCTAAAACCTCGTAAAAGCTCAAAGGGCATCTTCAGGAACTAGTCTGTATTTTCTTTCCAGAAGCACTTGGGTCATCACTGGAAGAAATTTTCCAGTGTCCAGTGGGTCTTCTCTTTTATTTGGTCTTTGAGATAGTCTCTGTAGCCCCAGCTGGCCTGGAACTCACTATGTAGACCAGGCTAGCCTGGAACTCAGAGAGCTCCACCTGCCTCTGCCTCCGGAGCTGGGCGAGAGCCACCACGCAGGCTGGGTTCATTATTGGACTCACGGTCACACACTTCAAAGGTTTCTTTGATCTTTTTGTGAAGTTCTGCCACTATTGCCCCTGAGTCTTCCTGCTCTTTTCCTCCACCATGTTAGTGGGAAGATGGAGATACTCGTCACCTGAACTACTTTTTTCTTATAATTACACAGCTGCAGCTGTTGGGTGTGTTGGCACACACCTTTAATCCCACCATTCCTGAGGCAGAGGCAGGGGGATCTGTGAGTTTGAAGCCAGTCTGGTCTGGTCTACATGGTGAGCTCCAGGCCATACTGTCCTAAAAAAAAAAAAGAGCTGCGACAGAAATCAGTGTGTCAAAAGTGACATGCCTCTCTGTCCTGGAGGAACAGCCATCCTTCAGAGAACAGAGGAAAATACAGTGGGATGGCACACACCTGTAATCCCAGCACTTGGGAGGCAGAAGCAGGAGTCCAGGATCCTCCTCAGCTACATAGCTAGTTTTAAGGCCACACTGGGCTACCTGAATCAGACCCTATCTCAGAATAACCAAATACCAAATCAAGATGAGGGCACTTAGCTGAATTCTAGGTGTGTTGGGAGCATTGCCTGTCAACTAAAAGCAATGCTTAAATACCCCATCTGTTTTATCTCCTCCAAACTTGCCCTTTTTTCATTTAAATATCATCGTTCATAAATGTTAAGTGGCTCCATATTGAGGGCCAAGAATACAAAGCGCCTCAGAGGTCCCTAAACTAAGCTTGGTCTTTTGGTGGAATGGGGATACGAACTACGGTGTTATGAAAGACCATGAAGTCTCCATCCACAGCCTCTGTGATTCAGCCCTGGTTCTGTGGCCCTTCTCACTTCATATCCAGTTTCATGTCCTGTCAGTTCTGCTGCCAAAATACCTTACATTTATCCTGATGGGACCATGTATTTCCCCACCAGGATGTGGCTGCATCTGGAAGCCTCCTTTCCAATTCCCACTACTAATGGTCTAAGCAGCCAACCCTCATCACCTGGATAATACTGTAACTGGTTTCCTAACTTATTTGCTAGATCACAGGATAGTGGGGACAGTACAGTGGTACAGCAGTTGCCTAAACTGCTCATAGTTCTGGCTGGGATCCCCGACACTGCACGCAAAACTCACCTGAAATTAAATCTCAAGTTCGACATGGTGAACACTTGTAATCCTAGCATTTGGAAGGTAGAGGCAGGAGAATCGTAAATCCAAGGTCATACCGTATCAACGTTATCAAACTGAGGCCAGACTGAGCTACAAAAGACTCTATCTCAGAAACAAATCAGCCAGCCAGGCATGGTGATTCATGTCTTTAATCCCAGCACTCAGGAGGCAGAGGCAGGCAGATCTGGTCTACATAGTGAGCTCCAGGTCAGCTGGGGCTAGAGAGAGGCCCCGTCTCAAAAGGACAAAAAAAAAAAATCAATTAAATCATAAGTCAGAATCCAGTCTCTGGTTAAATCCCTTCATCATGTAAGTGCACCCGTTTCCCGCAATGCCCACAGAGCTCAAAAGAGGCTGTTGAATTCCCTGGAACTGGAGTTATGGACCATTGTTAGCTGCCATGTGGATGCTGGAATTTGAACCTGGGTCTTCTCCAAGAACAACCAGTGTTCTTAACCACTGAGTCATCTCTCCAGCCCCATAAATCCCTTCTTTCATGACCAAAGCTTGTATGATGTGAGAATGAGACACATACCTGCAACCCCAGGGCCAGAGGCAGAACCATGAGTTGCAGGCCAGCCTGGGCCACACAGTGAACCCACCTCGAACCAGAACCAAGACGAGATGAGCAAACAAACCAGTGTTGAAATTTAATTCCTATAGGTATGATGTATATTAAGAGGTTCTTAGGTCAGGAAAGCTCTGCCTTGATTAAGCCACTCACCGATTAATGGATTTGGGGAGTGGGTGTGTTAGAGAACTGTGAGCCAAAATAAACCTTTTACCTAGGGTAGTGTTCAACTGTAACAGAAAAACTCAAACTCCTGACAGAACCCTAAAGAATCTGCACTCCCCATCACTCATTTCTGCAGTTCTCTTGGCTGGAACTTTTGAATCGTCCCTAAACAGGGTCTCAGTAGGTAGCCCAGGCTGGCCTGGAACTCCTCAGAGCAGTCTCCTGAGACCAGCTGGGATTAAAGGCGTGTGCCACTTCACCAGGCCCAGGCAACTTACAACTACTTGTTTCCTTACTTTTCCCCCAAAATAACCTAAATTGGGGAAATGAGTTCCTCGATTTCATCCTTCAGCACCCCTAAAGCCAGGTGTGTTGGCTCAACCTGCAATCCCAGCTAGGGTAGGGTCTGTTCAGTTCAACACCAGTCTGGGCTACAGTGAGAGCCTGCCTCAAGATAAAAACCAACCAAGCAGGCAAAGTATGAAATGCTTGGGCCAGAGATGGTTCAGAAAGCAAAAGTGCTTGCCGCATAGGCGTGACAGCCTGAGCTTGACCTCTGGAGCCATGGTCAAAGGAGACAATGAACCCCTAAGGTTGTCCTCTGACCTCCAGGAAACAAGCCTATCTATTCACAACAGCCAAAGCATTTTAAAGTCCCAAATATTGTTAGGACAGGTGCCTAAGACAATATAGCTTCTATTTGCACATCTATTACACATCAGGTGCTGGTCTCAGAGCATTTTACAGTTTAAGTCTCACAATCCTTAGGTGATGGCAGAGGTTAAATGGATTCACTATGTGTGAAGTATCCCAACCCAGCGGTCCTAAACCAAGGGCTTTACCCCATGGTTATGTTGTATTCCAAGAAGCAGTAGAATCAAAAACACTAGATGAAGGAATGTGTGGGGTCTGGGTATGTTGCTAGGGTGAAACCAACAATCAATCACCTGCCCAGTCACAGCTGTGATCAGGCTACTGAGGCCAGACAAGGTCAAGGGTGCTGATGTAATTAAACCTACTGATTTCCAAAGCAATAACATGGTCCTTGTGCCCTGGACTTTACAGCTAGTCCTAAGTTTAGTGAAGGAACAGACTGATCCTCCCTGATTTCACCTTCTATCCCAACTCTTTGCCTCCCCTCCCCTCCTGTGAGGACCAACATCTAAGAACTGGCCTTTGTGAGCCAGGTGTAGTGACACACAACTTTAATCCTAGCCCTTGGGAGGCGGAGGCAGAGGCAGGCAGATGTCTGTGACAGGAAGACCAGCCCAGCTATATATTTTGTTCCAGGCCAGCTGTGGCTACAGGGAGACCCAGGTCTTAAGAAGACTTAAGGATCTGGCCCTTGTGGTTGAATCCCAGAGTCTACGAAATTTAAACACCTAGACCTTAGAAATGACATGATGAGCTTGCCTGGGGCAAAGTGGTTTTATTAGAGAGCCAGCATCACATAGGCCTTAGGAGTTAGCATTGGGGCCCTTCTTCTTGCCAAAGGTGGGCACTACGTTGACAAAGCGCCGGTTATACTGCATGCGCCTCTTGGCCCGGCCTGTCTTCTTCTTCTTCTTCTCCTGTTTGGCCACCTGGGAAAAGGTAGGGCTGGTAAGACCCTAGCTGACCTCTCCCATGCCTGGCATCCTTTCCTTGGGTCCCTCTCCAGGAGGAAAAACTCCACGATAGGACAAGACGAAGTCCAAACACCACCACCTATTCTCACTCACCTTGGGAGTTTGACCTCTCACTTTTCCAGCGCGGGCCAGGGAACCATGGACTTTACCTGTTGGGGGGGGGGGGGCAGGACAGAATAGGAAAGAGTCAAGAAGGTATTGCCCAGCAACCCTGCCTCCCTCAACTCCCTCCACCTCTGGAGTAGTGGAATTACAGACGTGTGCCACCCTGCTGTTTCTGCAGTTTATTCAGTGCTGGGGATTGAACCCAGGGCTACTAGGCAAGCACTCTACAAACTGACCCACATTCTTAGCCAACATTCCATGTATGAAACAGTAAAAAGAAAACCACTTGGGGGGGGGGTCTGGTAAATTTCCTGATTTTCTGAGAAACAGGGTCTTCCAGATGGGCTGGAACTCGGTATGGAGACGAGGCTGGCCTCAATCTCAGAAATCCACCTGTCCAAACCTGCTTTTGATTTTAGTGGTACACTGAACCAGTCTGGTTAAAGACTGAAAAAAGGGTTACACTGAGAGACGTCGACAGAAGGCTCACCCTTACAAAGCACCCGGTATCTTACCGGAGAAACAACCACAACCACACACACCATCAGTTTACAAACACTCACCTCCGAGCATGCGGCCAGCGACCTCCAGAGTGCTCAGGGGCTCCACCCCACACTGGCTCAGGGTGGCCTCATCCTCCAGCGGCGAGCCGGCCAAGAGCACGACTTGATCTCCCGGGGCGATGCCCTCCAGCGAGGCCACATGAGCCTAATCGGCAAGAAAGGAGTTTGTAAGTACTCAAGCTTTCCCTGCGTGCCTGAGGACGGGAGGGCGAAATACAGCGAGGAAACCTACCTTGATCTGGGCGACCGTCTCCTGGCCGGTCACCTCGAGGGTGTGTAGCTCCTGAGCGCGGACAAAGAGCTGCATGTTGGCGACTGAAGAAATAAAGACTGGTGAGAGCGCGGAAGGGGCGGCCGGGGAGAAAGGGGGTCGGGGGACGGGAGACAACCGCGCCGTCTCACGTGCGGAAGGCCCGGCCCCGCTGAGGAGCGGATAGGGACGGGAGCCGAGTCACCAAGCAGCCATATCCCTTGCCCTCCCCGTGGTCTCCGAGGCCCCTTCCCGCCCGGGACCGAGCCCTCCGGGTCCCGCCGTCCCCTGAACCTCACCTGACCCGCGGACGCCGCTGCAGCTACTGCGAAGATGGAGTCGAGAAAGAGGAAGAAGCGGGGACGCGCACGTCCTCACTGCCTGCTACGCGTGACGTCACTGCAGCGCGACTGCGCGGGTCTCTGGTATTTGTACCTCCCATTGCCGTCTTAGCTACGCCCCCTTAGGCTTCACGCAGGCGCTCTTTGGATGTGGCCGGGTCGCGCCGGAAGGGGCGAGGCCTAGCCGGCTGCGTGCGTCGGAAGGGGCGGGGGAGCCGGTTGTGCCCGCCGTCTACACTCCAAGATGGCGGCGGCGGTCCTTCGGGCCGCTCTGAGGGATTGGAGAAGGGGTGTCCGATGGAGCTGCGGGCGACGGCGACTGGTGAGAGCGCTGAGCTGGCAGCTGAGGGCAGGGCAGTGCGAGAGGTTCAGTGTTATCCATGAGCACTCTGGGCTTCGCGTCCCCGCATGAGCCCTTCGTCTCCCTGTCACATCCGGGACACCTGACTGGAGGGTAGAGGAAGGTGGAGAGGGAAGGTGACAGCCTGGACTGGTTTGGAGAATGTGGGGTTTGGACGGTGGCCGCAGCTCTGAAGCTACGCGTCGTGCTCGTTGCCTGATGAGTTCAAGTACTTAACCTGGAACCTTTTTCAAAGGCATGTTCAGAGCAAGCTCAGGTGCTGAGCAATGTTGTCTTGGTCAGACTTTCCAGGAGTATACACATACTGTCATTTGAGTTCTGGAGGGATTTTAGGATTTAGATGTGCTTGAGCTGCTTTTTCAGCCCCACCTGGTACCCTGCACACTGGAAATCCAAAGCCTTTCCCATCTCCAGTCTTTTTTTCATTTTATGTGTACGAGTGTATTTCCTGCAAGCTGTGCTCCCTGAGGTCAGAAGACGGTGGCGGGTCCCCTGGAATTTGAGTTACAGACGATTGTTAGCCGCCATGTAGGTGCTGGGAATGGAACCCTGGTTCTCTGCAAGGGGAGCCAGTGCTCTTAACTGCTGAGCCATCTCTCCAGCCCCTCCATCACCAGTCCTTTATTCATGCCATTGTTTTTGCCTGAAGTGTTTCTTAATTTTGTTGATGAACTAATGGAAAGATGGTTTATTTTGCTTCAGAGCCAGACCCAGGGGCCTCCCGATTACCCTGGCTTTGTGGAGTCTGTGGGTGAATACCGTTTTGTGGAGCGCCTGTTACCTCCTACCAAAATCCCAGAGCCACCAAAGCATGACTGTTATCCTACTCCTAGTGGCTGGCAGCCTCCCAGAGGTGAGCTGAGAAATGGGGATAACTTGAAGGCTGGAGGGGAGCAGCCTCCTTCCCAGCCACCACCCTGCCCAGCTGAGGATTCTGGGGGCTAGTGTTGTCTCATCCCAAGGATGGACCCAGGAGTGGAGCCCTGTTTTACTGCAACCCATTTTCCATACTGTTTTGGTGGTGTTTCCCCATAAAGAGAAGATGCAAGTACTTGGATCTCCCTTCTCCTCCAGCAGTGTACCACAATTGAGAATACAGCTTGGTGGTTAGACAGCCCTGTTGGGACTGAGTTAGCCACTTAGTTTCTCCCAACCTTCTATTTAGCAAAATGGATATAATCCACTTAGCAGGAGCTCAGCATGTGATCAGTGCTTGTAAAAGCCCATCCACACCACAAGTTGTAGGCCAGCCCGAAGGCTACAGAGAAGCCCTACCTCAAAAACACAATTGGTGTGGTGGCACAGGCCTTTAATCCCAGCACTCGGGAGGCAGAGCCTGAAAGATCTCCGTGTGATTAAGCCAGCCTGGTCTATAAATCGAATTCCAGTTAAGCTGGAGCTACAGGGAGACCCAGTCTCAAAAAGACAAAAAAAATAAAGGGTAGAGTGGCCCCAGGTGGAGGGGATTCCAAAGATCCAGGGAGATATACCCGACTTAAAAAAAAATTTTAATTTCACATGTATGAGGGTTTAGTATGCATATATGTGTGTCACATGTATGCCAGCTACCTTCAAAGGCCAGAAGAGGGCATCAGATCCCATGGAATGAGAGTTACAATTGTGAGCTGCCATGCGGGTGCTCTGCAAGAGCAGCAAGTGCTTTTAACCTCTGAACCATCTCTCCAGCCCTTCATCATCTTTCTTTTGAGACAGGCTCTCACTCTGTATTCCAAGCTGGCCTTGAACTAGCAGAGGTCTACCCACCTCTGTCTCCTGAGTGCTTGGATCAAAGGTGTGGGCCACCACGCCTGGTTTTTAATTTTATTTTTTAGATAGGATGTCAGTATGTAGTTCTGGCTACCCTGGAACCAGCTGGCCTCTCCTTCCCTTTACTGAGATTAAAGCCATGTGCCATCACACCCAGCTTTGCTTTTCTTTTTCTGACAATGTTTCATGGAGCCCAAGTTGGCCTTGAACTGGCTATATAGTACAGGCATAAACAGTCATGCCCAGCTCTTCATTTCCTCTCCATCATTTATATGGTGTCAGTCTGTGGGGGCCTTATGGTACCTGGGTGAAAATTCAGTTGACTCTAAACTGAAGGACAAGCAATACCCTGACCTGAAGTCTGGGTAAGATTTAATGAGCCTCTACAGCCAGGCACAGCAAGCCTGTAGTGTTAGCAGGGAGGTGGAAGCAGGAGTCAAGGTCATTCTCAGTTATGAGTTTGAGTCTAGCTACATGAGGCCCTGTCTCAAAAGCAAAACAAAACCCACAATCCTTTGCAGAGTGTGAGGGGAAAGGCCTTGGTGAGGTGGGATGAGGCCTTGGATGAGTTGACTTATCACTGTCCCCTATCACAGATCCCCCTCCCAACTTGCCCTACTTTGTTCGGCGCTCCCGGATGCACAACATCCCTGTCTACACAGACATCACACATGGCAACCGCCAGATGACTGTGATCCGGAAGGTGGAAGGGGACATCTGGGTAAGTGGGTTGGGATCCTTTCCTGATTCCTCCAGGGCTGAAAGTGGTGGGAGTCCCCTAATTAGGAAGAACTGCTGACCAGAGTTTATTGTATCTTTCCCCAGGCGCTGCAGAAGGATGTGGAAGAATTTCTGAGCCCACTGCTGGGAAAGACCCCTGTCACCCAGGTTAATGAGGTGACTGGTACTCTACGCATCAAGGGCTACTTTGATGAGCAGCTTAAAGCCTGGCTCCTTGAGAAGGGCTTCTGAGGCCTGCTGATCAGCCTGCGTAGCCGTGCCTTCCACAGACTGGTGTCCAGGGACGAAGTGGATGTTTGAGCCCCTGGAATTGGACTTGGGCAGGGTTAAAGGCCTTTGACATCAGGCCTTGTTTACATAACAGGGAAGTGGACTCCTATGACTGTGTGTCCTCTGGGGGAGCACTGTCCAGCATGAACACTGACTGGGAATAGTCAGGCTAGTGGGGAGTATTAGCTGTTGTCCCCCCTACATTGTGGCCCATTCAGGTCACCGCTGGAAGCAACAACCTGACCCTGTTCTGGGAGGGGTAGGATAGAGCTATCATGAACATCCATCCTTGGCCCCCTGGAGCTCACTGGTAGAAACCTTCCTGAGCCCTTGCTGTAGACCAGACTGGGCTTGGTTGGTGGGGGCTGTGGAAAACGATGTCAAAGGCACAGGTGGAGGTGGGCATCTTAGGTTCCAAGTGCTGTGCTAGGCATGAGGGCACTCGCCTGCTGACTTGGGATCGACTGGACAGGGGTTTGCAGGCATAAAGATGCAGACCTTTCACCCCTGCATTCCCATCCCACCCAGCACTTTAGCCTTCGAACCTGCCCTGCCCCACCATCAAACTGCCTAAGTAGTGTTCAGAACCTGACTACCTACCTGGCTTCATCTCTGACCTGAGATAGCTTACTGGGGTTCCTGGGGCGAAGCTTTTCCATATGTAAGATGACTTTGCGTTCCTGGTCATTTAATCTCAGCTACTCCATTCTAGGAGACCCAGTTTTTTTAAGTCTACAGGCCGGAAAGAGAAAAGGAGCCCAGGCCAGAACCTAGGCCACAAGCCCCACCAATCGTTAATGCAAGGTTTTATTTGGCTGTATATACAATTTAAGCTATTAAAATTTGTACAATATTTACAAATTAAATAATCATCTGAAACTGTCTCCAGCAACTCTTGTAACACAAAACCAAGAGGAAGAAAGATAAGCGGCTAGGCCTCGGTTTCTCTGGACCCTGCCTGGCCGAGCCTCTTCTAAACTGGAAAGACTAGGAGCCTAGCCCTATACCTGCTCCTTCCTGGGGTCAAGCATTCAAATTCAAAAGACAAGATTTAAGCCAAAAGCCACTAGGTACAGAAGTAGTTCCAATCCTGAACTCATGTCCCGAGATTAGAGTGGCCTGCCTTAGATTCTGGGGAACAGTGGTTAAGGAGCAGCACACCAGCCCTTGGATGGGCCTGCCAGGCAGTGGCTGCTGGGTGGGTCACAGCAGAGAAGCTGCAGGGGAAAGGACCTGGGGAGGGGCGCAGCAGGGTCCCTCAGTGCTGCCCGCCTGCCCCCCACCCCCAGGCACTCCTTTCCCTGAGTTGTGTGGTTGTAAGACATGGAAATGCCACAGGGCTTAGGGGGCACAGCCACCACCACAAAGGGGCTTCTGGGGAGATGAGGATAAGACAAAGAAATTGGTACCAGTCTTGGCAGGAGGGCTGGGGCAAGGTCCTAGTCTGTCTCCAGCCCCTCTAGGGTCCATACTCAGGAACAGAAACTAATACTGTTCGGCACTGCAGCGTGGCCCCGAGCTCACAAGTAGGCTCTGAGGGGCTGCCCTTCGCCAAGAAGCCATGGGGAAGGGGGCTTCTCAGAGGCTCAACCTCTACTAAGGCCCCAGCACAACACGGCAGGAAGAGGTGGAGGAAGGCTAGAACTGACCAACATCCCATGGCTTCCCAGGGCTCTAAGGACCATCAGCTGGGAACCAGCCACGTGGCACTCGGCCTCGGGGATGCTGCCACTTCTTAGCTGGGGTTACAACTCTCTGTGCAGACAGAGAGAGCTGGCACTTGGTGGCAGAACGTATTCCAGTGAGGGCTGCTCAGGAGAGCCGGGCCAGGGCCAAGTCTGGCAGTGTCAGTGGGCAACAGGGGACTCCAGCTTCTGCAGGCGGCGCCGGCGGAGTTCTGCAGCGTCAGGCTCTCCATCGTCAGGCAGTTCCTCTGCAGCGCCCATGGACTCAGGAGCTGAAGAGAGGTCGGAAATGGAACCCAGAGAAGCCCTCAGCCCCCATCCCAAGGAAGCTAATGCCACCTACCTGGAGGCTTTTCAGTTTCAGGGGTTGGTGAGGAGGCTGCTGGGGATGGGGTGGTGGCCTCAGAGCTGGGGACAGTGGTGGAGGGGGCAGCAGCAACCACTGTAGAGGCAGTCTCTTCAGTGGGGTTGACTGAAGGAGCTGGCCTGGGGGGCCTGACAAGAGAAGGGACAAGAGAGGCCTGGTCTTGGCATCTTGAGTTGGCAGACTGTGGCCCCTAGTGAACCCCAAGGGACAGTCTAGGACAGGCAGCCCTAGAAGCCCCAGTGAGACACAGGCACCAGTGAACACATGTGGAATGGATTCTTGGATAAGGTGACATGGGGCAAGCAATTCAGTCCCATGGATTGAAAATCACTTGTAGGCAAAGATCACTGATCCCAGCTACTCTGCAGTCTCCACTTGGGGTGTCCAGGCACCTTAGGGGGTGTTCAGTGGATAAGTCGGTGTTCAAGCCTGTGCCATTCCGCCATTCCTGCTGGGTGCTGGCACTTGTATGCACACTTAGGACTAGGAATTGGACTGTTCTATGTGAAGGTTGTAAAGCCAGTGATGGGGTTAGCACTTGAACTTGGGCCAGGTTGGCTTAGCGTGACTTTTCTATTATCCGCTCCCTCAGTTCAGACATGAAGGTTAGGAAGCTTCATGCTCTGCCCACTAGTAAACACCACCGCTACGTAGCCCTAGACATGCTTCCTTGGAATGAAGGATGAGAGCCTAGGTGTGATGACAACTCCCAGAGCTGCTGCACAGGCCATTAGACTGGTGGCCTGAGGTAGAGCACACAAGGGACTTTACTTGGCAGCTCCACCCCTTGTCACAGCACACGCACCCCAAGGAGGCCAGCACAGTGAGGTACTGGTTGATCTGCAGCATGGCGGCGTCCAGCAATGTGTGGATGTTGCGCAGGCTCTGCAGCCGGGCCTCCAGGTGCTGCCGCTCATGGCCCTCCAGTGCCCGCAGCTCCTCTGGGGTCAGGCCAGCAAAGCCCACGGGGGGCACAGGCATCGGGGGGAAGGCTGGTGGGAGGTAGAGGCTCAGTCTAAGCTATCTGGGCCTGATCCCTTTACCTCGAACATCCCAAAGAGTAGCCAACCTACCAAAAGGTGGAGGCAGGGGCATACCCATCCAAGGAGGAGGGAAGGGGAAGCCAGGAGCGGGGCCAGCCTCTGGGCCAGGGGCAGAGCCAGATGTAGTAGAGGTCCTGGAGCCAGCGGCTGTGGTGGTGGCTGCTCCACTGGGCCGAGAAAGGGCTGGTGAAGCACACAACAAGAAGTCAGTCGCCAGCCCTCTGGATCCAAATGCCACCCCTCAGCATGGAAAGGCTCACCTGCACTGGTGGGAGGAGCTGCAGCCTCTCCTGAGCTTGGGGGAGGAGGGACAGGTGGAAAGGGGCCCATAGGGGGCCACAGCGGGAACATGCCTGGAGGAAAAGGAGGCAGGAGGCCCTGGGGGACTGCAAAGAGAGGACAGGGTAGTGAGAAGAGGGAGGAACTGACCAGACCCCACTTCCAGGCAGGGGTGTGGCGACTGGGAGCCATCCTCTGTTCCCACAAGCCCCTGAGCTCACCCCTGGTCATAGCAATGGCAAGCCTCTTTCTCTCATCATCTCCCCTTCCCCACCCAGACTCAGAATCCCCAGTATTGCCTATACCCAGTCCAGGGCAACCACCCGAAAGCAGGTTGGCTAAATAAAGGGCCACTCACAGTTGGGGGGCTGAGGCAGCAGTGGGGGGGGGTGGGGGGCAGGGGGTGGCCCTTGGTCAGCAGGCTCAGGGGGTGGTGGTGACTGGGCTGGCAACGATGCCCGCAGGACATCCATACGGCAGGTAGGGCAGGTCTGCTGCCGCTGGAACCAGGAGCGCAGGCAGCTGGGGGTCAAGACCAGGCAGTGGTCAGCAGGTCCCCAGGGGCCTATGCACAATGTGCAGGCTCCCTAGCCCCTCCCACCTGGTATGGAAGATGTGGTTGCAGGGCAGTCTCTTGGCACCAGTCACCATCTCCTCTCGGCAGATGATGCAGACATTGTCCATTGCCTGGAGCTCCTCAGGGGTGGCATCTGGGTACCTGGTTAGATGGCAGAGCATGTGTCTGGGTCAGAGCTAGGGAGCAAAGGGATCTGGGACAGAGTTTGGGAGAGCAACCAGGATAAGCCCACTTACAGCGTGTTCATGTTGCGGATGGCACGGCGAGACATAATGGCGTCTGTAACAGCTTTCTTAAACTGCCTGAAGAGATGGACAGTGAGGGCAGGAAGACAGGCAGGAGAGATCAGGTCAGGAGAGATCAGGTCAGGAGAGTGAAACGACAGGGCTGGACTCACCTCATAGCCAGGTACATGGGCCGGATGGCAAAGAGTGGGAAGGTGTGCACCTTGATCATGATGGTCATGAAGGCCATGTACAGCAGGACCTTGATGAAGCCTGGGGGAGGGAAGGCAGAGAGCAGCTGGTCCTGGGCTGGCGGATACAATGGGGAATGGTGCTGTGGGTCAGGAGAGGCCCAGGCTCCTGTCACCTGTAAACAGCTCCGTGTAGAGCATGTAGACAGCTTTATTGTCCCAAGGGTTCTCGCTTTGGAGGTCCATGGAGTGCAGCACATACTTGATGAAGATGGTGAGTACCATGGTCATCAGAATGGCGTACTGGAGGGAGAGACATGAGAGCCAGGTAAACACCAGTCGCCCCTCACTCTAGCCGTGCCCAGGCTGCAGCACAGCAGACAGGGGCACCAGCACAGGTTCTGGGCACAGCTGAGGTCCTCCTAGCCCCTCTGCTCTCTAGATATGACTTTAGGCAACTGACTCAACCGCAGTTTGATCATCTAGAAAATGAAGAATTAACTGTTCATTTACAGCAATATTGTCATGTGGTAAGCACTCAGCAAATGTGAGTACTGTCACTCAACACTCTGCCTAGGACATGTCTCCCTGGTGGTTTCCCTGGTAATTTTCTCCTAGCTACTATCATTCATCCATCCATCCATCCATCCATCCATCCATCCATCCATCCATCCATCCATCCCCAGCTGTGGCATTAGCATCCAGGAAGCCTTCTTGGTACCCCAAGTTGGGACTCCTCTGTACCAGCCTCTCTTTGCCCTTTTCTGCAATCACCCAGGGGTGAGTGAGGGCAGACTGGTCTAAATGACCACTGCTCCCTGGTGACCAGCATGTGGGTGGCTCAGCAAGAGCTCAAAGCGCATGTAGTGCCATCTCAGCTTTGTCCCTCCAACCCCTCAAAGCCAGTTTTACCTCAAAGCCAAACACCAGCTGCACAGAGGCCCCTCGGGTCAGGATGCTGTGATAAGCATGGCTGACGAAGAGGAAGTCCAGGATACCCAGGAGGAACATGAGGGCTGTGGAGACCCCCAAACAGAGAGGTCAGCACAGGCCTGACAGCCACATCCTGCTCTAAGACAGCCCCACCTGTATGTCCACCACAGCCACGGCCCCAATCATCTAGTCAAGTGGGCACACCCCAGTGGTTCAGCCCTCTGGGAACTCTACTTGTGCCTAGGCAGGGTGTTGGAGCAACCCAGGCCCCAGGGGAGCAGAGCTCAGGGCTCAGGCAGTTGAGAAGCCCTGGAGTGGAACAGGGCAGAGACAATGCAAATTAAGTTCCTAAATTATCTTTCCTGTACGGCTGTGGGCTGGGGGGCGGCTCTGGGATGTTTCCGTGACTTTTCATGTCCCCATCCTCCACGGCTCCTCTCTTCCCTCCTGCAGCCCCCTCACATCCATGCATCTCACTTACAGACGATGCGGCAGTGAAAGAGCCAGGAGATATTGGGGCTGCGTTCCATCTGAGACAGAGCAGAGGATGCTGTCAGGATAGCTGGAGTCACCCCACACCCCACTTCAGCCCTCAACACTCTATAAGCCTGTCCATCAGCCACTCCCAACTCACAAAGTCCACCCGGTCCTCAGCCAGCCAGTGGAAACACTTGAGGAAGAGAAGGAGCGTAAAGAGCGCAACGAAGCGAGGGCTGAAGTCATCTCGGAAAACAGTGAAGGCCAAACAAGTCTCGGTGACAGCGTACCAGGACCGTTCCAGAAGGTGCTAGGGGTTGAGTGGGCGATACGTGACCCAAGACACAGTCTGCCCAGTGCCAGACCCTCTTCTTGGGGGCTGCCAACATCTTACCTCCATCTCTGCTGCCCTCAGCTGCCCAAAGAACACCTTGCCCATCACCTTGCCCAAGAGGAAGACAAGGACAAAGGCCTGGATGTACAGCACCTAGGAGAGGAAAAGGCTATGGTTTGAAATCGTTTTCTGCTCTCTTGGGGCTGGGGCTCAGCATTCAGGCATCCCCTCAAGTCCAGGCACAGTTTATTCAAGCTAGTGGCTACTTCTCCCCTACTTCCCTGACCTACAGCCCCTCCTCTACCCCAGGCAGAGGACTCCACCTCCTCTCCCTGAGAGTTCCTCCCTCCCAGAACCCCTAAACTCACTGCCATGCTGGGGCTGGACTTGGTCAAGTACACCACAGTGGGATAGAACTGGTGTTTGAGGTAGTAGGCATGAGCCACCACGGCTCCGGTCAGCGCCAGGCTGGCCGCCATCATCACTGCGGTGCGGAACATCGCCCTGCCCCGGAGACCTGCATTGGGGGGGCGGGGGAGGAAAATGACATTTGTGATGTCTAGACTGTGCAAACCTAGAACAGTGCCTAGAATAGAAACATGTCACCATCATTAGATTCACAATAGCATACACTTACGATTTCCAAAGGAGAAACCGAGACTCAAAAGGGTTAAAGCTAGCACAATGATGCAAGGCCTGGAACCTGGGTCAGTCTTGTTTCAAATCTAGGGCTCGTTCCACGCTGCCTGCCAAATCGCCTCCTCCAGGGAGTCCATGAGGCAAAGTAAGCAACGCTGGGAGGAGGGGGACTGCCACCGCTGACCCTCTGGAGGTGCTGGGGTGAAATCAAAACCAACTCCAGAGGCGGGAACGCTGGGCCCGGGCTGGGGCGCAGCCTGGGGAGGCGCCACCCCGGGTGACAGCTGCCAGGGTGGGCAGCACGGGAGCGCGCCCCGCGGGGTACGTCAGCCTGGAACCCTAGCGACTCCCCCAACGCCCCCCGCCCAGCAGTGTCAACTCGGGGTACCGGAAAAACGGCCGCGCGGCAGGGTGCAACGGCGGGGACCGGGAGCGACCCGGGGCGCGCTCGCAGCCGCGCAACCTGTGAGCACCAAGGGCTCGCGGTCTTCGCGGGCTGGGCCCGGCCTCCGGGAGAGTGGCCGCGCGGCGCCAGAGGTCTAGTGCCATCTGACAGGCCGAAAGCAGACTGCCGGACCGAGGGGGGCGGGTCGATCCCGGTGCCCGCAAAAGGAAAGGGCCGGATACCCGACCCCCTCAACCGCAATTGGAACCCGAATTGGCTCCACTCACCAGGAGCCCAGCGCCGCGAGCCCGCTCAATCCCCGCGACTGCGGCAGCCGCTTCGGTTAACGACACTCCCCACCCCCTGCGAACCGGAACTTCGGGGGTAAGACACCTCACTTCCGGCAGCGCGGGGCGCGGTGGAGTGGACCGTACCAAGTGCCCTTGCATGCGCGCTCTCCGTGCACCGTGCCGGCCGCCGCTGCTGGGGTTCGTGCGCACTGAATCGGGCGGAGCAAGAGATGCCAAGGGTAGTCTGGACGAAGAGGGGTGGGGATCCCCCCCGCCTGGTAGTCAGATACTAGGGTCGCCACCGCCGAACCCCCCAAGTCCGGCTCTCGAAGCGCCTGGAAGGTGGAGCATCCCGCGGGCCGTGCCATTTGGAGGGGGGGATGAGCAAGGGATGGGGTTTACGGCTGGCATAAAAGGAAATTAAAGGTGTCAGCGCCTCACTCCAGTGACAGGCTCCACACTGGGACCAGTGAAGTGTTTTGTGGGAGGACTGGATGCAGAAAACAGGAATTTGTCTCCTCTACGCTCATTGCCCCCCCCCTACAAGTTGTGTGGGAGTGAATTGGGTCCCGTGGCTGCTACTGATTGGTTGCAATAAAGTTACGCGGACCAATGAGAAAAAAAAAAGGAGAATTTCTGGCCAACAGAAAGAGGAAAGCAGGTGAGTGGTTACTAGGGGCAGTTAGCAGCGCTGTTTTGGACCGGGTGCTACCCCGGCTGGCTGTGCGCAGAGAAGGTGCTTTTTCTGTGGGCAGATCATGCCTGTTCCACCTTGGGGAGCAATTGCTGCTCCTTGAAGGGAGCCGCAGTGTGGAGGGCCAGGAAAAGCTTTAGTTCCTGCTGAGCTTGGTGTGCGAAGGGATTGACTTTTCAGCGCCGCATGCTCAGTCGACCCTCTCTTTACCTGTTATGGTTTTGCTGCCCTCGGCATGCTCGTTCCTGGGCCATAGCCACGACCCTGTTGCTCTGGGCTGCCCTTCGTCTCAGTCTGGGTACAGCCAATCAGTATTTTCCTTAACAGAATGGAAGGCTAATGCGCCCACCTTGTCTTGCCTTTTCCTTTTCCAGCCCGTTTAACCATCCCTTACCCAATCAGCGAGGGAGTGCTCTTCCCTACAGAAGTAGGACCATATATATGAATATATATGAATGATATCGCTTCCTCTGCTCCTTCTTTTATTAAAATGTGGCCATGCGGTTCCTTTACGTTTCCTGCATCATTTGCCCTGCTCCAGTGACTTCAGCTCCCCTGCCCCAGGACGGTGAGGACTCTCCTGTCTAGCCTCCAGCACAAGTCTCTAAAGCTTTCGAAACAATTTAGAGAGAAGATCATGTTGGCTTACTCCTGTAATCTCAGCATTCAGGAGACAGGCAGGAGGATTACCCCAAGACTGAGGCCAGCCTGGGCTACAGAGTGAGTTCCTGTCTCACAAACAAACAAGGGCCAGAGGGTTAAGGCACTTATGGCCAAGCATACCCACCTGCGTAGATTCCCCGGGACCCACAAGCAGAAGGAGAGAACTGACTCCCACAAATTGTTCTCTGACTTCCACATACACTATGTGGCTCACACACACACACACACACACACACACACACAAAAAAAAAATAAATGTAATCTAAAAAAATTAGTGCCAGGTATGATAGTATATGCCTGTAATTCCAACTTCTGGGGAAGTTGAAGCAGGAGGATCAGAAGTCCAAGGCCTGCCTGGGCAGCAATATTAGTGAATTGATTGAATGCTGGAGGCGAAGAAATACTGTAGGAGAGTTGGAGAGATGGCTCAGCAGTTAAGAGTACTGGCTGCTCTTGCAGAGGACCTGGGTTCCATTCTCAGCACCCACATGACGACTAACACCTGTCCTGGACTCCAGTTCCAGGGGATCCGATGATCTCTTCTGGCCCTTGTGGGTACTGTAGGCACATGGTACACTTACATACATTCAGGGAAAACAGACATACACATAAAATAAAAATATAGTTTTAAATTAAAAAGTGTGTGCCAGGCCTGGTGGCACACACCTTTAATCCCAGCATTTGGGAGGCAGAGGCAGGTGGATCTTTGTGAGTTCGAGACCAGCCTGGTCTACATAATGGGTTCCAGACCAGCTGGGGCTACAGGGGGACCCTATATCAAAAAGACAAAAAAGTAAATAAATAATAAATAAAGGTACATGCTGTGTAAGCATGAAGATCTGAGCTCAAATCCCCAGAACCCAGATGCAGTCACACGCCTGTAACCCTGGCATGTGTTAGCACAGAGATAGGAGGATCACTGGGGCTTACTGACCACCAGCCTAGCTCCGGAGCCTGTCTCAAGGGAATAAGGGAGAGGATGATAAAGCAGGACACCTGACATCCTCCTCTGGCCTCTGTGTACACATGAGCATATGCATCTGCACACACCTATGCACATATACCACACACACACACAAAAACAGAAATAAAGATGTTATAAGGGAAAGCTAGAGTGGGAAGGAGGATCAGGAGGATGGAGTTCATGATGTAGAATGCAGTATTCAGTGCGGATATGGGTTAGCCTCATTGAGCAGGGAATGCCTGAGCAAGGTCTTATAAAAGGCAAGGATGTGAGCCAAATGGCTGTCTGGGTAGAGCTTCAGCTGCAGGTGGACTGGTCCTGGGTGTAAGAGTGGCTAGAGAGGCTGAGTGAGAGTGGGTAAGAAGAGAGGGATCCAGAACCAGATCACATTCAACATCACAGCCTTTACTCTGGGTAGCATGAGCCATTGAAGGGTGTTGAGCAGAGGTGACATGCTGTGACTTAAAGCCTATGTTGGAGTAGACTGTGGCAGGATGGGAAAGGAAGCAGGTGGGAGCAGTTGTGGGCTCTTGCACAATATGTTAGACGAGAGGAATTCTCTTTGGTTCTGCGGCCTCTGTTGGTCATTCCTTGCCTTCTTTT